GATTAAGTCAATTTAATCACTGTACCAGCACCCGATGACTCTTCCATGTTATTGGTGTAACACCTCAACTACCGAACCTTAGCTCTGATGCCACTGTTGTGGCGGAAAGGACATAAACAAAATACACTACGGAAGCGAACCCCAAGAAAAACTCCTTTCCTACTACCAATAAAATAGGATAATCAACCAAGCCAACCAAACAAGTAAATAATTAAAGAACTGATAAAGTAAAGTAGACACACGGATTTACGTAGAAAATCCAAATCGGAAAAAATCATGGGACTGTAACAACAGTCAAATCTCCACTATCAGAATAATGGGAAAACAGTCTTCACCAACCGGTGGATACATAGGACTTCACCTAAAGGTAGATTACAACAATACTCTTCCAAATAAACACTAATCTCACAAAATGGGATTAGAAGAATCTCTCCAAAAGAGAGTTAAACCGAAAACTAAACCAGAGGAATTGTAGATCTTGTTGAGAAGAACACACATGCAAACTTGCACCAATAACTGACTCTGTTTCATCACCCGATCAAGATCTTAATGTGAAACACTTTCTTCTCCCAAATTAAAGACCCCAAAATCCTAGTTTTCTACCTCTTTTTCTCTCGTACAAAACAAAGTGTATGGCTGCCTTTTTCTACCCTTTTCATCAAAAACACGCCCAAAAAACTAAAGATTCAACTTGCTTTTATAAGCATCAAAAACTAAAAGCCCCGGTCAAAAAAACAAAACCAAAGCCTAATAAGTCTTGGTTTTATTTTTCTTATTGTTGGCCCAATTGAGAGGAACTAATTCGGACCCAACATGACTATACTGTAATTCGCTCTCTGTTGTAGTCTCCAATAAATGTAACTTGATGTTCATTTTAGGCAGGAACACAGTAAGTACTATACTGCCTATTTGGATTTGAAATATATGACTCCCTCCGTCCCAAAATTATTGTCAAGTTTGGTTAAAATGTAGGATTTTATTTTTGATCAAAATCCACCATAATTTGACACAACCTTCCAAATATAGCCCTGCACACAAAAGTTCTTTTACGGGTAAAGATTTCAGTTTTAAACACAATCTTTATTACGGAGCACCCAAATTCAAAAGGCAGGAACAAGGCCTTCATCTGTTCATCACCCAACAAATAAAATTTTCAAATGAAGAATTTTGAATTTGAAGAATCCTTCTACGCTAATTTTCAATTTGGTGCTTACAAAGACAATGCTCTATCTCATCGAAGTCCCCATTGACATGTACGTACAGAGCTTTTCAACTGAGGGCGTTGGTTGTTGGGGAGAAGGTGGAGGTGGACAAGGTGCGGGAGGTCAGGGCGGTGGAGCTAGGGGTGGAGTAGAGGTCAAGGCGGGGGCGGAAGAGGACCGGGAAATATCAATTGAAGGTCAGGGCGGGCGGCGAAAGAGGACCGGGAAATATCAATTGAATAGATCAGATGCAGTTTTGACAGAATTTCTTCTGGTGGGGGATGAAGAACTCACGGATGAAGAGAGAAATTTTTGGGATACTTAAGATTCGGTTTCACTGTTTCAGAAAGGAAAACCACGCCATTTCGTTTTCGGATTGTATGAAGGGTATAAATGTAACTTACTCCTTAAAAAGTCAAATTGTGGGACGGAGGGAGGGAGTATTTTCCTAATTCAAAGCAAGAGTGATCTCACAGTTTAAAGTCAGCCTAAACAAAAAATTATAATTTTGATTACGTGTTGGATATATTTAAATGAAGTAATTAGAGAAATCGAAATATTGGACAAAATGATAACATTATCTTCTTTCATCATAGGGATCTAATCCATTAATCCCCGTCCGTCTGACCAATCAGAAGTAACAAAATTTGAAAATTAAATTAGAAAATTTAGTGTGAAAAAAATAATATAGTTCAGTGGCGAAAATCAGACTAGAATGTTGTGGAGTTTCTAACAACAATTTGCACTGGAAATTAAGGAATGTTTCAGTTCTGAGGAAATGTTTTAGTTTCGGAGCTATAAAACTCATGGATATTGCATAGCTTAAAGAATGGTATAAGGAAGTTAATTATCCACAATTATATTGTAATGACAATATGCACCGATTTTATACTCGTTTGTTTTTGTATTGTGAGTAGATTTGTGTCCAATTATATGTTACGGGTGGTGATAAATTGAAAGCTTTTTTTTTTTTTATATTGAAAGCAATATTTTATCAAGTACCTAAATTACCCTCATTTAAGAGCTAAAGAAATTATCATATTTGATTCCCCTTAATTTTATCCCCTTGTTTTCCCTCCTTTAAGATTTTGAAGAAATTAACATATTTATTTCCCCTTCATTTTTTTTTCCTTAAATTCCTTAATGTAGCGTTAAATTTATTTTTTTCTCTTGGTTATATTTTTTGGGGAATACTATAATGGAAAATCACTACATTCTATCCTTATCCCTTAACCCAAAAAAATTTATCCCTTTAACTTCTAAATTGATAATCAAATTCAGCAAGATTTTAACAATATTAATAAGAACTATGCAAACCCAAAGTTCAATTATCATAATTTGATTTAAATTTTCGATGCTCAATTTTTTAACAAAATAAGTGTATGAATTTAGACACCAAAAATACTACTCTCTCCGTCCCAAAATTATTGTCCAGTTTCCCTAACAGATAAGATTTTATTTTTTATCAAACTAAACCAAATTTAAGCAAAAGCTTCCAAATATACCCCTAACTACATAATTGGTATTACCGGCTGAAGATTTTATGTTGATCAAACAGTTTTGGGGGAAATCACGAATGATTCTTGATAAAGGTACTTGCTTTCAATCATAACTCCAGTTTCGTCGGCGATAAATCTGGCCACCATCAGAGGAAAACCAGGAAGTGTTGTCACCGAAAGCTGTCCAAGGAGACAGAGACGGAGACAGCGACAAATCGATGAATACTGAAGAAGAAAATTCCATACGAACGTTCCGTCTCACTCCAATTTTATTAATAATCTTTTTAAAAGCATAAGAAACTGCATATAAGACTAGTAATGGAATCAATTTTTGGATGCCCAACCAACAACCTCCTGGCCACCTCATCTTTTCCGCCGCTCAAAGCCGTCGGAGTTCCCTGGAGAAAACAGAGTATGTTTTTTTATAAAGGGTATAAGCGTATTTTAATTAAAAAAAGTCAAATCGGACAATAATTTTGGGACAAAATTTTTTTGGCAAACTGGACAATAATTTTGGGATGGAGGGAGTATAAAATCTATTAAGTGATAAAATAGAAAAAATTTGGTCTCACAGGCAAAGAATGATATATGATCTCATATGCTACTGAATCGTGGAATATAAATGCAACTCCGTATAAATTTTGGAAAAAAAATTAAAATCTCTTTTGTTCGAGGGCCAAAAAAAATATCAAGGAAAAGCCTCTTAATACCCTGAATGATTATGCCCGATAAAGAAAAAGAAAAAAAAAACCGTCTACAGTGGGAAGTGGCCTAAAAAGAAGGGAGAAAATAAGGAAAAATGAATTTATTATTTCTAAAAAATCCTAACCAAGGGCAATATAGATAATTAAAAAAATTTTGCTCTCAATGTATCAATTCCCATATGTTACAAGGTCGACAATAAGCTAGAGATATCAATGATGTATCCTTCCATCCTAAAAAAAATAATATACTTTAAGAGCAAAAATAATTGCTATGTCAAGGTAGGATTTGCAAAACTTGAATATATTGCAATGCATAGCTTATAGATCCGAATTCTTGTGATCCAATATTGTTGACAATAGATACCAGGATAAGCAACTCTTTTAAGGTAGTCTTGTAGGTAAAATGCCAGAAACTTAAATCCATAACTTAAAGCTTACATCACTAAGGAAAGAATTCAGTCCTGAATTAAACCCAGCGACAAAGCGTTGAGAATGCAAGTCTCGCAATTGAGTGAAACAATATTTCCCAATCGAATGCCACAATCGATGAGCTGATTATTTGCCATCAAGGTTTGGTCCTTCTTCCGGCTTATTATAGAGAAATTAAGAGAGTGGGTTTATGGTTTAATTTTACAAACAAATTGTTGGGGATTTATCTGGAGGAGAAAACTCGACATGGAGTCCAATAAGTAAGATAAGACAGTTCAAAAGCTCAAGCTAATGGGTTCTGAGACCACCTTACTTATTAACTGATTCACATGTCGTCATACCTCCGATGTGGGATTCATAATCCTTGTCACATGACTCTCAACATTCTCCTCCGTCATGAGCAATCTCCACATCGGGCAATCTTGACAAGTCCAAATCTGTACTCCACCTGAATAACTGGGCCGCCCATCCCTACGTTTCCTCTCGTAGTGGGTTTTTTACTACCTGGGTTCAGTCAGATCAACCGAGATAATTTGGGCTAAATCACTCACCCACTTTACCCAACCTGGGTTCAGTCAGATCAACGGAGATAATTTGGGCTAAATCACTCACCCACTTGGCCCAACCTAGGCTCTGATACTACTGTTCGGGATTTTATCTGGAGGAGAAAACCTGACATGGAACCCAATTAGAAAAATAAGACCTATTTGAACTCAAAAGCTCAAATTAATGGGTTCTGAGACCACCCCACCTTACTTATTAATTGATTCATATGTTCTCATGCCTCTGATGTGGGATTCTACTTATTAATTGATTCATATGTTCTCATGCCTCCGATGTGGAATTCATAATCCTTGCCACATAACTCTCAACACAAATTAAATCTTCCAAACAATCATTCCTTGTATATATGCGACACTGTAAGTTGCAAAATAATCAAACAATGTAATTTTTGTAAGATTGACACGAGAATTTCAAATTTATAAACTGTACAAAGTGTCACAGAAAATCGAGTACGTCAATCCACGTGCTAACTTGGTTATTATCAACTCAATTTTAATTGTTTTGTAAATGCTATAAATTATTATAGGAGACTAAGACAATATAGGAGCAATCACTTCGTAGCAAAATTATATGCAACAAAAAAACTTTGATATATTCTAAACTCAATTCGTAGCAACATGCACCCATTCATCGGCATCGGTATCGGCTTCGGCATCGGCATTGGCGGCTGCCGGATCTATTCCACAGTGAGGAGATTCTCTAGTACCTTCGTTAGTGTCGGAAGGCGATAAAGGAGCAACTTCTGCTTCAATAACTTTGATAGTTGCCGGAGGAGGAGCTGACGATGGTTGCGGCGACGGCAGTGTTGGTAGCTGCGGTGACGGCTCGGCCGGAGTTTGTTGTGCCGACGGCGGAGTTGGTGGTTCCGGTGATGATGGCTCGGCCGGAGGCGGTTGTCTAGGTGACGTCATCCGCAGGTGTAAATCCCGAACTACGTACCCAATTCCGCAGCAAAGATATCCCATCAGTAAATAGTTGAGCACCGTAGCTGCGGTGGCGGCGGCGGCGGTGGTGGTGGGTTCTCTGTGCGCCGCCGTCGTGGCGGTGGGTAATTTGGTCTCATTGAAAGCTTCCCTTATTGCCACCGGCAGTTCCGGTGATTCGATACTTGGTTTATTCTCCCGCTTTGCAAAAGACTTCTCGATGAATCCGGTAAAGCCGTTGATGATATTCCCCATGGCCGATCACCGGCAAGAGAGCTGAGGAGAAATCGACTTTGAAGAAGAAAAAAAACACAAATAGTTAATGTTTTACCTATATATGCAAGAAGGACACCGATTATTAGGGTTACTAAGGAGAAGAGATAGGCAAAACTTGTACTCCCTCTCAAAGAGTCAATTTTTTTTTTTTGGTTGAACTTAAAATAATACTCCCTCCATACCATAATCACGGTCCACTTTGGTTAAAATTTAAGATTTTATTTTTGGTCAAACTTAACCATATTTTGACACAACCTTCCAAATACACCCTCACATACAAAAGGTGTTTTACTAGTAAAGGTTTTCTCCTCTCTTCGTCGTTTACAATTCCCTGAAACCTAAATCCTTTCCCTTCTTCTTCGGTCGTCGGATCCGTCAATTCTTTACTGTTTTTTTGTTGCGATTTATGTTTTTGCGCTCTGATTCGTTCGTTCCTCCTCCTTCGAATTCGTTGCTTCCGAATTCGTCATGATTTTTTTTTCCTCTAATCCTCTATTTCCCATCATTCATTCTTCTTCGTCTTCGATTTTTCTTCAAAATCGATCTCATCCTCCTCCGTCTTTATCGAATCAACTTCTTTGAGCAATTTCCAACCCATCCTTTATTTACAGAGTACCCAAATTCAAAAGGCAGGAACACAGCCTTCATCATCTATTCTTCACTCCGACGCCGGCAATCAAACAAATTTTTCAAATGAAGAATTTTGCATTTGAAGAATCCTTCTACTATAATTTTCAATTTGGTGTTTCTGAAGACCGTGCTCTATTTCATCAGAAAATTACAAACAGAGCTTTTCAATTGCAAGCTAGAAACTGAGCTTCATCCAAATTTTGTGGATGTTCTTATTATTAGTTTCAATTTAATGTTCCTCCATGTATTTTTCTAACATCGGGGATATCATTTGAATAGATCAGTTTCGGTTTCGTCGGATTTTGTTCTAATAGAGTTAAAGTTTCTGCTGATCTGGGGGTAATTGGGTATAATGTAGGAAGAGTATATGTGTAACTTAATCCTTAAAAAGTAAAATCGGACAATAATTTTGAAACAAATTTTTTTGGACAAAATGGACAATAATTTTCGGACGGAGGGAACAAATACAGTAGTAGGCTATTAGGACAAAAAGAGTAATTTGTTCACAAAATATGCGTGTGAAAAAATAAGTATAATTAAAACTCTAAAATTTAGCGCTTATTACACACTGATTTTTGTCTAATTTCCTTTCGCTTTTTGGGTGAAAAATAATATTCTATTAAGATTATTAGGAAAAATATCAGCGATTAACAAAAAAGGAGGGTGCCGTAGGATGCAAAAATTTACCCTTCCTTGCACAAAAAGACAGTTTTTTTCCACGGACCCCAAAAACTCCCCTAGTTAAGTTAGTTTTGACTAATTTCCTTGTTTAGAATGATTTTTCTATGAAATCATCCTCTAAATTAACAATTATAACTATGTGTGTGATCCATGTTGTATATAGGCAATTTGATCATCTTAGTGTACAATTTTCTGGTTTGTTCTTCTTTTCTTATTATAACATCACAAGTTTTGCAACAAACGTATCTACCCCAATTTTTGAATTAGCTAGAGAGATGTACGTATATTTTCCTTTTTTTTAATTTTTTTTTTGGTATAGAATGACAAAAGATTTTCTGTGACACTTTTGCGTTGACATTGACTAAAATCTTGGCATAATCACTTGTCAAATAAGGGTTTATTTACCATGCATTTGGTTAGAGTATTGGTATTCAATTATTTAAACACGTGTTATTTAACTAGGGGGTGCTATATGAAATCAACAAAATAAGTATATTACAACCTTAAAATACTGGATGTTATACCCGTGTGTTGCACGGGATTAAGTAATAATTTCGTAATAATGTATCGTTACTGTTTTATTATAATCTTACTTTTCTAATTATGTTACTTATTGAAATTAAATAAAATATTACAAAAATGGGTTTGATGTCCAGATATAGTCAGTGACTAATTCACTTGCTAAAGTTGATCTAAGAACTCAATATATTAAGGTATGGACCTACTAAAACAAACCAAATGTTAATACTGAACATCAATGTGACGCCTATAAATTTATTATTATTATTATTATTATTAGATGAACTTCTTAGTCAACAATAAAATATAGACCTAATTTTTATAGTTTAGTTAAGCTCAAAAGTTATGAGAAGAAAAAAAGAAGACAATATTTGCTTATACACAAAAAAAAAAGAAAAAAAAGAGTAAGAACAAATTTATGGCTACTCAACTGCAAAAATTATTCAGCTTCCTATTCTTTTTGTAAACTTAAAGCTTGATATCATTGAACTTTACTAATCTTTAAGGGACAAGATAATTTAAACAACCCAAATTTAGAGGACTTTTACACGATCACACTAAGTTTTATTTTGAGAATTTCAAAAAAAATTACACCTAGGACTTTTGATGATATGGCACTCTAGGGATAAATATTATTTTCTCTCTTTAGTTTCTCTCTTAGAATATACCATATATATATATTAATACTAAAATATTTTTTCCTCATTCAAGAAATTACTAAAATATCTTTAAGTATTATATCACTATAGAGTTTATTTATTTTTTATGTCTTGGTATGCCGTATACAACATTAGAAATACACCATTAGAGTTTATTTATTTTTAGAGTTTATAATTAGAGATAAGTAAATACACCATTTAAGAATTAAATACCATAAAAATAGTACCAAACTTTTTTATACTTTAAATTAATGTTTTTTGTGTACTTTCATCCAAAATTTTTTTTCTAGTGTTATAATAAAAGAAGATTGCATATCCAAATACATATTCTAGTACCTCCTATGATATTAAAATAATATAAGAAAATAGTAACTTGAAGGAACTTGTTCTTCCTTGATATATATATGACTAGACATGTCCAACCAATATTCACAAGTGGATAAACTCTATTAAATTATCTTTTACTCTCTCCGTCCCATAAAAATAGTCCACATTAAAGTTTGAGTTTTGTACTGTTCTTAGCACAAATTTAAAAACTCAGTGTAGACTATTTTTTGGGACGGAGGTAGTATTATTTTTATTATTATTATTATTATTATATTTTGCTTTTTTACTTCTATGTAATTTAAGAGCTTGGCCTCCACCTTGATTTCAAATATGATAAGTTGGACCTAAAATAGTAATGTTTTATTTATATATTGTTGTTAGATGATTCAACAGTATTATTATTTAAAAAAAATCTAAAAGTTTTGTGATTCAAGATATTTTCATTTAATATATATTGAGTAATATGGAAAATCTCCAATCTTATTTATATAAATTAAGTGAAATATTTTTAATCATTTTGGAGGGGTAGGAAATGAAACAATTTCATTGGTTACTTTAGAATATATTTGAAACTCTTTGACAAAAAAAAAAAAAAACCGAGGGGGCACGGTCGCACCAGCTTGCCTGCTGCCTTCCCTTTTGGTTATTGTTACTGTTCATTGCGTTTAACATTTTATTCTTTGGCCCAGGAAAAGACATATCGCATTAACTGTTTGACTAAAACAATGTAAAAATGGTCTTTTCTTTGGGGGGAAAAAAAACAGAACTACAGGGAGTAGTATGCATCAACGTTCTTACCACCCTTTGAGGACTTGTTAGAGCATTTGGTAAACAAAATAAACAAACTAAAAGAATATGTTAACGTGAGGTTCAAAAAGCATGTGTACCTGAGGGGAAAAAAAAAGCTTGTGTTTTTGCCTTTAGAAAAAGGATAACATATCCCCGGAAAAGAAAGGTAATGAAATAGAAACATTATCCTTTAGACCAAACGTAACCAATAGATTAAAAATGAAAAAAAAAAGTTCCACCACAACTTTTTCTGAAGCTTTAGATTTGATACATAATATTTATGGTCAAATAGCCACTGAAATTGATTTCTGCCCCAATTTCTTCATCAACCCAAATGACCATCCGTGCTCATGACTTCCTTACGACCAACCTACGGGTAATGAAAAATATGAAATATTAGTGATTAATTTACTAAACCATTTTTTTTTTGTAAAAACTGTAAAATGGCATATATTACTTGGAAACAGTTAAGTACAATGCTCCTACCAAAAATTGCCTTATTTATATCCTATTTACAATTCCAAAACACCATTACTTATCACTTAAGTTACATTAGACTATTTACAAACCTGCTCTCCTTCACCAGTAGTTTCCTACTTTTGCACTGTTTAATCCTGGTTCTTACCACCTGCTGAAGCTCACTTAAAACCATGTCTTCACTCCTTGTCTGATTCCTAAACAGTCTGTTGTTCCTTTCCTCCCATATGCCATAGATACAAGCAACCAAAGTTGCAAATAAACACTTTCTTTTAAGTCGGTTCCCATTCCATATTTGCTGAATTTGTCTCTGCCATCTTTTCATTTTCACTGACAGTGCTCTAACTTTCAGCCACTGTTTAACTCTCTCCAACAGATCACCTGAGTAAGGGCATTGAAAGAATAAATGTTGAATTGTTTCCAATTGACCATTGCACAAACAACATCCAGCATCTGGAACTGGAATGTTGTATTGTAACAGCCTATCCCTGGTCCATATTTTGTCTTTCCACAAAAACCAAGCTTTGAAAGCGTGCTTGGATACATTCAATCCAGACCAGATTACAGTTGCACCATGCAGTTTACATCCTTCCCCTAGTAGCCACCTGTATCCTGATTTTACTGTATTGACTCCCTTTCTGTTTCCTTTCCATTTATCATCATCAAACCCTCCTTAACTCTTTCTTTCATTTTCAGAATCTGCTTCCAGGACTAGCTACTGCCTGGCTTGTACTGTATTTCCCAAATACTCTTCCTTTTTAAATATATTTCATGAACCCATTTAGGCCAAAGGCTATCCTTTTTCCCAACTATCTACCATAACTGTTTGAGTATTGCTGCTTCATTCCATATCCTGGCATCATAAACGCTTAATCCCCCCTCAAATTTACTCCGGCATACAGTTTCCCATCCAACTAGGGCAAAATATCTCCCTGACTCTCTTACTCATAAGAATTCTCTACATTTGCGGTTTACAGCTTTTGTGATACTATTAGGCTAATAACCCATTTGCTACTATTAATTCTTAGAATCATAAAATAATATTTCTCATGTCCCAAAATAATAATAATATTTCTTCTAATAATAAACATAACTTTTAGTTTTAAGACAAACGCAGTGACATAGTCTATAACTAATTAACTGATACATGTAAGGTACTTGTGTCATTGGGCGAAAGCTTACTTCACTTTTTAGATAGTTTGATTTTGAGTTTGGGTTCAACAATAGTAGTCGGGGATTTTCTTTTCTTTATGGCAGCTTCCAGAATGCAACACTCGCAGTTGCCATCATGCCAATTAATATTGTCTTTCAATTTCACGATTTCGGATGCTTCTCCCATCTGTTAATGTAAAGGAAGTAGAGAGTTCCTTTAGAAAATTAACTCATTAATCATACAAAAATGAAGGCTTCAGAAATTAATGAAATTGTTAATTAACCAACGTTTGAAAATTTATGCAGCATATTCAATTCATTGACATTCACATGAAATGACTTAATTTATACATATACACATTAATTACAATGAGGTTATTTCATGATAGGCACAATTTGTAGCATAAAAATTGAAACAAAATTAGGAATTTGGTATTCTCGGAGTCTTCAATGTAATTACTGCGACAAAAAACATAATCTTAATTAAGCCTCAGTTTCATCAAATCAAAACCCTAAATGATCACCACTCACATTCACCAAGTCATTATGGAGATATTATTTGGACATTTATCAGAAAAGGTGTTCAGAAATTTAATTTATCATTGAAACAAGATAACACCAAATATTGATGACATTGAATATTACTTCAAACCATCAAGTCAAACACAATAAAACATAAGCCAATTAGTTACCTCTTTGGAATTGATAATATCTTCGCCCTCCTTCAAATCAAGAGGGATTCCAATTCCATTATCCTGCTTTTTCTTAGATGTAACTTCTTTGAAGTTCGTACCCAAAATTGCTTCAATAAAAGCACATTTGAAGGGCCAAAAGTAGCTATGGTCAATTGCAGAGATGCATAGAGATAAAGAAGTAATAAAGAAAATCAAGTTGTACAGGCTAGAGCAAAGCATGAATAAAACTAACCGTTAACTGTTTCATCTTCAAGATCATCTTCTTCATCAGAGGATACTACTATAATCCTCTTAGGCTAATCATTAAAAAATCAACATTTGAGACTGAATTCATGCAGAAGTAGAAAAATACATTTACTGAAGCAAAAATGGAATAAATTCAACAGGATTTAATTTTACGGTTTAATTTGTATTGAATCTTAGAACATACAAAGGTGACAGCTATTTATTGGATTAACCTTAGGATCTGTAAGAGATCTGAGGTCTTCGGCTGAATATACACCATAAACTTTAGGATATCCATTCACATCAAATTCCTCTATTATTGTTACATTTCTTCCCCCACCGCCACCGCTACTGGTCGTTTTCGTCTCCCCCGGCACCTACATTTTCCATATTTTGCATCTAAATTACTATACGAAATCAATTCAGAAAAAGGGCAATAATAAAAAAAAAGAGCATACACGAGAAAAAAAAAATTTGCAACTAAACAAGACATCATTGATGTGTAGGAGGATGATTTAATTAACAAAAAAATCTAAAAGGGTGTAATGGAATTGAAATTTATACTTTATTAGGTTCAGAAATCTTCCGTTCCATCGTCGGTAATTAGGATTTCTGGCAGAAGCTTGAGCAAAGTAGAGAAGATAGGTGTTTGTTTCTCTTTAAAGTGAATTGTGTATAAGGTAAAGTTTGGCTGTGTAACTGAGAAACATTAGGGGTGCAAAATGTCCAGCTTTGACAAGAAAACAAACATGTGTCAATAACTAAAGACTACCGTTACTCTTTTGACTGATTCATAATTGAAATATTGGTCTCATTGATTTTATATGGCGCAACCACAAAAGTCGATTTTTTAGTTGTATTATATATAACTTAGTGTGATGTTCACCGGCAAGTTCACTGAATTTCATTTTTGTAGCGAGGATTGAGCTTGATATCCATCCTAACCTTTATTAATCATTCGAGAGATTAACCATCTCTTAAATTCTTTGTAATCAAACTGTTAAAGGTCTTGTGTTTTGAAATGGTTGAGACTTTTGAACGGAGACATGGAAAAGAGTAGGCTTAGTTAAAGTTGATGGTGCGCTGTTGTGATTAAAAGATTATCAGTGCAGTGTTGTCGAGTTTTGGAGAGAAAGTAAACATGTGTCAATGACTTGGGACTAAATTGCATGTTAGAGTAAATGCTTCAATTTTCCTATTTCCTTTCCATAAATTGCACATTCAGTGTCCGAAATCAGTATCCTGATTGATTTAAATTCGAATATATAGATCTCAAGTGAGAGAGAACACACTTTTATTATAAGAATTTTAATCACTTTTGTATGCCTATTGCAGATTGAGAACCTTAGGTCATAAGATTCTCTGTTACTTCTTTTGGCATCTTATATTTAGGCTTTATTTCATGGTTTAAGTTAGTATAAATTATGTAAGCTAAGCTACTCACATCTCACTATCCCATCCTCCAAAAAAACCCAAAAGGCAAACCAAAGAAACCCAATTTTCAGCCATTCTTGCCGCTTTTAATTCAATCATCCTCAAAAACAATTCAAAAATTAAATGGCCAGAGGAAGAAAACTCTCCAAGCTCAAAGCCACTCTCAAAATCATATTTTAGGTTTCCAGGCTTGGAAAGGCACCTAACTACAGCCCAATTGTGGCTACCGCAAATAACTCCGACGATGATTTCGCCGCCAACTCCATCGCCATCAGAGCAGGCTTGCATCTTGTCTGTGTTGGTCAATCTCGCCGATGGTATCTTCTGCCGTCTGAAGTCATTGAGAATCCACTTTTGAAGGAGCTCGTGGACCGATCCTCCAAGGACTCCAGCCAGTGTACAACCCTCGGTTGCGAGGTTGTTTTTTCGATCATTTCCTTTGGATGCTTGAGAATGTTGATCCATCGAGCTTTCGGATGATCATCTTGTGGACCTTTATGCATGTTAATTGTGTGTTGGTATCAGATTGGGAAAGAAAATACTAATTAACCAAATGTATGTCTTTGGTTCCCATCCTGAAACTTGATTAATCGAACAATCAATTAATTTTACTTGCTTTCTAATTATTTCTTGTACCCAATCCATCTTGACTACATATCTGCATTTTGCATTTCACTTTAAAAGCAAAAATTTGTTTCTAACTAAAGAAAGAAAAGTGATTGTTACATTCGAATCACCAAACAAAATCTAAGTACAAAAAATGGGTTTTAAAAAAAAACTGGAAATAGTCATTCAAGAACCCATCAAACATCATTCAAAAGAATCCAGAAAAATTATTGAACAGTAAGGCATAAACTAAAAGGGTTGAAATAAAATGGTTGTTTGTAAAGATAAGAACTACTTAATTTGTCTCGCATTTTTTAGTTTACTGCTATATTTAGATGGTTGTTTGCTAAATTTACAGAAAAGTTAAGTGTAGGGAAAGAGTGGTTTTGGTACACTGTTTTGAAGGAGTACAAAGGCTAATGTAAGCTAGTGATGAAACACATCATAGCAACTAACGAAGCTAACATTTGGCTTTCAATGCCAAAATGTGAACTTGTATGCAAAAAATGAAGAGATTAGCATTTCCATTACCATGTACCCAACTGATCATCGATCCACCAGAAAAGTCCCATGTGGTGGTTTTTTTGTGGGAGAGAGGGGAAATGGAAACATATATGGCGTACTTGTCGTCAGTTGGAAACGAACTTGTTTGTAAATACTTAAGGATTTTCACTCAATCTTGGGTACCAGCTCTGTTGACACTGGTTGAGTGTCTGTCATTTGATCATTACGTTTCACTAGATCAGAGCTGGCTCAACATCCTTGCTAAAAAAATAATTACTTCATATCATCAAAGTTCTCAAATGCTCATTTTCTCCGCCCATCCTCTCACCGTTAAATGCCACTCTCTAGTAAATCAAAATTCAACTTTGATTTGTTGCATTAAAATTTTATTAGGTAGCATGGGATTTAGTTGGTGCTAAAGAAGATGGTTTTGATGAGTACAAGAGTATTAGCCCTTATGGATTGCAGGAAAAAAAAAGGAACAAAAGAGGATATGTAATAAATTTGTACAGCTATAGAGGTTAGTAATTGGAGATAAGTTAAGAAAAATGGGGCAAGAACCAAAGAAGCCATCGGTAGCTGGGTGAAGCCCTTTAAAGTTCAATCACATGGAGTTATGGAGGGAATATTCAGTAAGCTGGAAGGGTTAAACAGTCTTCTTACATTTTAAGAAACATTAAAATTGCTTCTAAAACTAATAGAAAAATCTATGCCCTTTTTAGTAATTTTAGTTTTTCCCATGCCCTTACTGATAATCCTCCCAATTTTTTATTTTATTTTTGGTAAAAAAGGTTAATTTTATTACCAAGTGAAATAATTGAAATACAAACATGTCGACATCCAAGCTTTCACCTTTTACAGAGCTATGGAAATTTAATTCCGCTTTCTACGATTTACAACCAGTGGACATAAGTGAATCCCATTACACCAAAAAATAAAATTTTGGGAGAATTAGGAACTTTTTGTAAAGTAGCAAACTTAATCTTCAGATGAAAGATAATCTTCTGAATCACTTTAGACTCTGTGGCTGGTTCATTTCGAAAGATAGCATTATTCCTTGATTTCCAAATATGATAAATGGAGGCACACAGGAAGCCTTCTTTGCGGCACTCAAGATATTACTCTTCAATCTTACAAGATAATGGCTTGCAAGGATATCCCAAGAATTCGGAAGTTTCCATCCATTGAAGTTGCAGATTGCTTGCCAAATTCTGCTAGAGAATTGGCACTCAAAGAACAAATGCGGGATGGTTACATCATGTTGCTTACAGCAGACACATTTAGTATCCATTGATGGGTTCCATTTAGCAACTCTGGTTCTAACTGAAAGTCTATCCCAATAACAAAGCCAAGAGATAAATGAAAATTTGGGAGGCGTTAACCTGGTCCATAACATTCTACACCATTGAGTAGGGGCCTGAGCAATTAAAGCAAGATAGGAAGCTTGTGATGAAAATGGCTTCCCAGGAACTATCCACACTGTTACATCATTTGACACTGGCACACACCTTAAACCATCGCTTTGAGCCTTAGGATTTTCTTGAAACTCTAAAAAAGGACTTCTTGATGGTTACATTCCAAATTTTAACACTAGCTTATGGTCATTTAATGGAGTCCTGAGGGGGTACTTCTCCCATGACAGACATTTTTTCCTTCTTTTTTTTGGTTATATTTCTTTTGATCATTATTCTGTAGCTAGCAACAAAAAAAAATATATTATGTGGTGCTGAAAATATCTAACTAAAAGAATAAATTTGACACCCTATCATTATTTTTCATCTGTTTTGTCAATCAATATGCGACAATTAATTTGTATCAAAACAACGTATGATAGTTAATCATTGGCTTGATTCAACCAAGTCAAATTACTAATAATCAATAGTTCATTGATGATAAAATTTTCGAGAAACAAAAGCTATTAAGTGAAGGATAAATTTCGCGAAGAAAATTTATCCAGTAATATGGCCTATTTGAAGATATTTTATTAGACTGAAGATATGCAAAACTTGAAACAAAATTGAATCTTTGGTAACAACAGTTAACAATAACGAATAAAGTTGGTGCCAAAATGGGTAATGAAAATTTTTAAAAGAGTATAGTTGTTCATCAAAAAATGTTGAACACTAGTCAAAGATTGTCACACAGCTAATTATCTTTAATTGTGACAATTTCCGGTGAATAATGATGGTAATAAAATATTTTGTCCTTGAAAGAATTAAAAAGCAAGCTAATGATGAAGAATTATTCTACGAGGACAATTCCTTCATTATATTGTTGTAGAAATGATTTCTTGAATCACAAAAGAAAAAAACCCCTCAACACAAAATTCATATTTTATTTTTCCTAAGGAAAAGACTGGTGAGCATATTGGAACAACATTACTGATGATCAGCAGCTCTTCCTCTAGTTCTTCTTCTTCTTCTTCTTGTTATTCTTCTTCTTGTTATTCTTCTTGGGATTCTGCAGTGCAAAAAAAGAAAAACATAAATTAGTATGTGAGTGCGTGTTATAGAAGGATGTATACAAGAATGTTAAATTAGACCTTTGAGACAGTTTCTACAGGGACTTTGTAATGGTCCGTTTCAATGTGCTCCAACCATGTTCCTTGATTGACTTGCTAAAATCAACAGAAAAAACCATAAACAAAATCAAGTGATTAAGCATCAAATAAAAACAAAAAAAAAGTAAATACAGCCAATAAATCTGTAAACTTACATCAATGTTTCCCTGCACCCTTGCTGGCCTTATTAATGTTGACTTCCTTTGAGGTGTTGCTCCAATTCGCAAAGCAAGGAGATCCTCTGCAATCTCATCAGGAGTTAACTGTACATGGACCTTCGGAATTCTACTTTCATATGTTTTTTTGTCAAGGTTCAAACCCTGATGAAGATTGGGATGACTCCTAATCCCCATCTTTTGAATTTTGGCATCCTCATCTTCAATTTGTTTATGCTCCTCCTCATCCCTTTTTTTCATAGCAACAATGTTTCCCTCTCTGGCACATTTCTCTTTACGAGTTTCTTTTTCGTCAATGGTGAATCGATTATTCAGAATATCAATGGCAACTAACTCCTTATCAGTGACATTGAAGCACACATTGGGAGGTCCCCCATAAGAAAAGCTACTACTTTTCCTAGAAGCACAGTGGTGAATATCATGAGATGACGGCCTTTGCGACGCAGCTCCCGCAGATTGAGGGAATTTGATACCCAAACTTGGCGGTTTTCGGGCCGCGAAGGTGAACACATCCCTAGATAGCGAAGGTGACTTGAAAATCATGCCGCGTGATGCGATAGGGGTTTCTTCAGTTGGCAGGGATAATAGAGGTTTGTTGAGAATCTTGTTGCCAAGTTCACCAGAGGTTTCTGCAATAGTAGACCGCGCTGATTTTATTTTTGTAACAGAACCATACATGGAATGGTTTTCTTTTGAAATGTCTTGAACTGCTGGAAGCAATTGTGGTGAAAGAGAACAACCAAGTTCAGGTAACTGCCTTTGTGACCATCGCGACCCTGAAGAAGAGGATGAGGATGAGGATAGCATTATGGAAATTTTGCGAAATCTAGTCGGATCCCGCCAACAAGGTGTTGGGTAGCCTGAGGCCTGGCTCTTGGTTCTTTCCCACTTAACATTCTTAGGATCAGGCAAGCCAAAGCTATAAAGTGATGACCGTGGACGCCGATATCGATCCATTTTCAGAACCTTTGTGCTAATTCTTTAACACCACAAAAAAAAAAAAATGGAACCATTATTTTAACCATTAATTCATGGAAAGAATTATTTCAAAACAAGTAGGTGAGAATGAGATCGATATGAAAACCTATCTTGTGATACACTTAATTAGCAAATGATCACGTTGTAAGATATGGAAAAACATACATTAATTTCATTTGCAAATTTCTAAGGGCTATATATGAATATGTATAAATGGATTACAAGTGTAACGCATATTCCTTGTGAAAAGTATGGATATGCTTGGATATAAAGAAATTAACCTTTAGCATACTTATTTTATGGGGCCAAAGACTTACTAGTGATAAATGACTTAGTGAGCTCAATTGATCTTTAAATTAGAAATTCGAGAATGAACGGAAACCTGGAAGAATAAAACATAGAACAATCCAGAATTACAAAATGAGATAAAAATAATTCACAAAGATTCTTATAAATGGTTTTTCCCCCAATTTTAGAATTTCAATGCAACATCTCAAACATCAACAATTAATTCGTCATAATAACGAAAAAAGAGTGTAACCAATTAAGTTCGACGAGACAAAATTAAAACCTTTAAATATCATAAATTGAGAAGGGCCTAACAAAAGAAACCCTTCTTCATTAACATGATTCATGGTGGAGTTTCAGAATATGTGTGTGTGTGTGTGTGTGTGTGTGTCTCTTTCCGTGGGTGTGTGGGTGTGTGTGTCTGGGGGAGGGGGATTTATTTTCTAATCTCTTACTAGAGATGTACACATATAAGAATCGGACAATTTTAACCATAAATCTTGAACCAAAGAAATAAAAATATTTGGAGGCTGGAGAAGATAAGCTAAAATTCTCTCCCCATGAGAATCTTGCTTGGGCGAAGAGGGAGAAAGAGCAACAAAATAGATTGGTTATAGAGGAGACCATTGATTGATGAGACAATATATTGTGTTTATGCCCGCAATTGAAAATAAGAATTTATGTTAATTTTAGGGGATTAATTCAATTTAAATTTGGATTAATTGTGTGTATCTAGAAATGATAAAGACAATAAATTCTTCACTAAAACTATGCAGTTAATGCACATGTAAATGAAAGACTCTTGAACCCTTCTATTTTATCTCAGTTGCTAGCATAAATCATACTAGGGGACAAATAAATTCGTATTTTCATACAATATTATTAAACAATTTGATCGTAATAATTACTATCTCTATCTATTTTATTTTTTAACCATAAGAGGGTGAAGACTACAAAATCTAGAGTAGTAAATGAGCGAGACATGCAAGTGGTGACAGTAAACACATGTTAAGGTTTTGGTTGATGCTGATGTATTTTAACGAACATCCATCCCTAGAGTTTGAATTGATTTTGGATTGTGCAAATGCAATTGTCAGTACCAGCTACTTTTTTTTTTCTGCTAATGTTGTTTTCCTAATTTCTTTTATCTTTATACGTTACAAAATCACTTTTCAACACCTCAAAGTGCATCCCTTTTTGCTGAAATTCTGGACTTGGAGATTTTTTTTTGATTGCCAATTTACTCTTACTTCTTTTGTTCCTTTGTGGTTTCTTTTTCTTTTTAGTTTTAATTTTTTAGTATCCCAGTTGAAGGTCCTAGTTAAGCATTACATAGTCGTTGAAATTGGATTTGGAATGTTTAGAAGCTATAACAATAAATTAAAGAGGAATTGTGCATGACTATGTAATATGAACATAACATTAATTTTTTGGTAATTAGATTAAGAGAATCCCAAACCATTAAATTGTTACCTTCTTTTCCTATTGATAAAACTAGTGAGCTCATAATTTAGTTCATATCTTTGCCTTAGTTAGATTTAAACTCGCCACCCCAAAGTTGTTGAAGATATTAATTATATTATCACTCAATCCACTCTTAATTATAGTCTCATTTACTGTATTATTTTTGTGCCTTAAATATAACTTTTTGCTTTTGGAGTGCCAAGATGGGTGCTGCCTATTGGTACTTTTAACTATCATTTTTAGTTTAAGTCAATTTAGAAAAATCTAAGTAATATGGAGTTAAATCTAATAATTGTAAGGTGTGCGTCTCTAGAATAATAATAGCTTTGTGAATAAATTATGTTGCATGATATCGTATCTCTAAAGAGAAAAAGATGATATGTAGTCCAATTTATGTTCGCATTTACCGCATGCACATGATCAATAGGAATTTCTACTACATTGCAAGAGAAAAATGGACTAAAACATTGATTTTTTGTTGAAAAAAATAATTAAATTTTTTACTTTTCCAAAAATTTCTTGTACATGAAACTGAGTTGTTTCTCTGGCTTAGCTCAACTCGTTCTATGCTACATATTCTCTGCATCAGTAATTGCTAGTGAATTTGCATTCCTATTAACATGTTTCAAACAACATGGAATATGCAATGAAATCGATTTCGTTTCATAAAGCAAATAACTTCATTTCCATAGACCCAAATGCTTAAATACTGATTGAAAATTGTAAGTAAATTTTGCAGTTAGAACTATGTATATGTTCTTAGACAAGCATCTTTGCATTCTTGTAATTTATCAGTGGGGTTGTCCACAACCCAACACAATTTTTTGCTAGGAAAATTAAATAAAATCACTATCACTGAACTCAATTCAACCTTACAATTTTCATTTTGAAAATCATATGAAAAACAAGACATGTTGAAATTGGAATAGGGAACGTTCCAATTTCTTAGATCCACATATGTCTTATTAGCTTATTAGCCTTTTTAGGTTAGAGGATTGAGAAAATACAGACATGGTCACATCCTTGTCAAGCATACTGACAGAATATTCATTTCCATGAGTAAAACTAAATCAACATGGGGGACCTCCATAAAAACCTTTATTTGTTTTGCTTTATTCTAAAGAAATTAAAATAGGTTCAACAAAGCAACCAAAAGAATTTAAAATAACATAAATTTGGCATGCTACAACTACATATTTTTCACGGGTTTCTTCAATTAATGCAATATAATTGTTAATCCTTAGCATCGCACAACAAATTGAAACTGCTATTAAATCATGATCGCATCTGATACAAAAATAACGAATCAAAATTGCTGAGAAACGAAATCCATTGAAGAAAGGATAGTTTTCAAGTTTAAAAAGATTACCTGGTAATTTATACTTTTTTGCAGATACTTTACCTGAAAAGAATATCTACGGAAAAAGAAAATGAATTAGAAGATACATTACCTGAAGAGAAGATCTATGAAAAAAGAAAATGAATTAGAAATTATTCAAAATGAAGATCTTAAAAAAATTCCAGATCCACTAACCAAGAAAAGAATTAAAAATGCCAGTGAACAAATTTTTAAGATTATAGCACAAAACAACAATTGATATTACCCATATATCAAGTCTGAAATCACAAATGTTGTTGAGCTTGATTTCACTATTTATGGTTTAAAATTAATTAGAGAGTATGAAAACATAATTAATCATGGGAAAATGAAGAATATCATTCAAGATCATCATATGCAGCTAAATCGTCATAATTGTTAATAATTACTGAAATAAATAAAAATTATAGTAATAAAATTGCTTACTTGATAGTAAGAGAAAACTAAGTTAGTGGTGAAGAGTTGGATACTACTATGACAAGCCTCTATAAAGGAGTTTATCTTCCGTTGTAGAAACTGAGCTGGAATGTAATAAAACTATCACAAGAAAACAAGAAAAAAGGGGTTGTAGCTATATGCACTAAGAAGGCAAATTTGTTTTTTTTTGTTTTTTTGTTTTATGAGATCTTTGCTGAACAGATTCAGGAAATCCCACTACATTAAATGGTCAACACATTTTCTACTGTTTCCTCACTTTTTTAAAGGGCTTGACCAAATCAGTTGTGGTAACATAGTTTCGGATTTATAAGAAAAAAAAAAAAGAAATAAAATAATCGTGTTTAAAATTTTATAATATGAGGAAAGCAAGTTTTCGGACCAACTTTTTCAAAATATTAATTTTCTAGTAATTTCTTATTTCACATTATAATAAACTTCACACTCTCTTAACTCGATTGTCACTTTTATTATGCATGGCAAAATTTACCTTATGATGCATATTAGTTTCAAAGGTTATCAAAATCTTAGACAACTTGAGTATTACGTAGAGAAATCAAGTTTTAAAGACTGGTCGTCAAGAAAGTGCCATTCATAGTGAAGGAATCATCATTATCCATGGATGATTCTATAAATGATAACTACTATAAAATGGGCTTATAGGAATGCCTGTTTAGGGACATTTATAGGATAAGCGTCCCAATAGATACATAATGGGATGCCATGTATAAAGCGTCCTTTTAAAGTGTATTAAGGGACGTTTGGAACGGTCCTACTGCAAAAAACTTATGGGGCGGTTGAATGTGTCCTTGTCACGATGATGCATCCTAATAGTATATTTGATAAGACATAGTGTCCCCATATATTTTGCTAATGAGGACCATTGTAAACATCCTAATAAGTTATTTTATAATAAATTAATCATGATTGCACATGTTGAGATTGGAACCATGCATTTTACGTTATTTGGGATCAATTTGTAAACCTATATGTTTTTGCTTTTATACTATTGGTGTATGATATTCTATAAATTTTGCAGATTTGGTTATATACATCAATTTAATTCGATTTTTATCCCTTAGAACCTTCAGTAATTATAATCTTACACCTTAATATTTGTATTTTTCCAATATCAATTTTGTCAATACCGTACTTTTCTTTAGTAATTAGATGTATATTGATTAATAATCTATGATGTTTTTGATAAATAGATGTCAATCTGAAATAAATGTTCTCGAATAGCACAGTCAACTATTCACATTACAAATATTGTAGCTCTTAAAACTTTACAAATGGAATTGTCATATGTAAATTAGTATGTAAGCATTATTTCAGATCACTACAAGAAAACTATTCGTTACCTGTTGGTTCAATGAGTTGAAGATAGTCTATATTTAGTTAAAAACAAATCTTT